TTTAAGTAGTAACAAAATACACAATGACGCCATGTTGTCAGTCGCGTGAAAGATGCACCCGAAAGTGTGATGGGTAACTAATGTAAGTGCTCAATTTCAGCAACATCCCCTTTTACCAATTCTCAGTAAAATCGTCTTTGGTATATCTTGAGTCAACGATGGCAGCAGACTGGAGGATGCCCACTAGGCTTAGATACAAATATCCTGATATTTTTGGAGATATTTAGAAGTTTTCGGGATATTTAGAAAAAATTCCTTAATATTTAGCAGATAAAACACAATTTTCTCAAATATTAAGGATTTGTAAGGATGAGTTTGTCCTTTTCTGTTAAGAAAAACCATCCAGCGGTGCAAACTGCATGCAGTGCCCCTTCGTACACTCAGGATACCACTGCCACAATGCTAGCACTATTGGTAAAGTGGGTGGAGCTCCGGGGAAATCCAGCGAATGGAGATTCGTAAACAGCGTATGATTTTTTCGCACACAATAAATATGTTTAAAAAACATTACGTTGAAATAACTGAGATATTTAGAAAAATTTTGGGGATATTTAGAAATTTTTTTGAGATATTTAGAGATTTTTTGGAGAATTTCCGGAAACATATTTAGGCCATTTTTCGAGATATTTGTATCTAAGCCTACTGCCCACCCACTGAGAACAATATATATACATTGTATATGTATATATTGATCTCAGCCCACGCATACACACAAACACTGCACACGGCTTTACTGTTACTGGGATGTGACGAAGTGATGACAACAAGAAATCTGCTCGCCGCAGGGCTAGTAGAGGAATGCATCTCATTGTGACATGAAGTCTTTACATCTAGCACTGTGAGGGCGCACGCCAAAACACGCACGCACACACATGCAGCAATTACACACAACAGACATGCATGCGCACATTCAGTGACCATATACGAACATGTATGCACACACACACACACACACACACGCACCCATGCACGCACTCAGATATCCACACACACACACACACACACACACACGCACACACACACACACACCCATACACACACGCACAAAGGAATCACAAATACATAAAGCTTTACTCTGTTTTTCTACCTTAGCTGCCACCTTTAGCTTAGAGTGCGTACGACTGCAACCAGCAATCGCACAGCGGGCAAAACACGAACGCCACGTTACCACCGCAGCATTTCTGCAAGCGTCGACGCCTCCATCGGGAGTCACTAGAGCCTAGAGGGGGCGCCACCAGGCACCTCACCTGCCCCGGCGCGTGGCGGGTTATGTCCGGTCTGGTTCCCGGAGACAACACTCATGACGATCGCGAGCTGATGTGAATGATCTCTTGAGGACTGCAAGGAGAAGAAGCTGTACGTTAGCTACATGTGAACATCTGTACGTTAGCTACATGTGAACACCTGTACGTTAGCTACATGTGAACACCTGTACGTTAGCTACATGTGAACACATGTACGTTAGCCAAC